TACTACTACTCTCTCTCTCTCTCTCTCTCTCTCTCTCTCTCTCTCTCTCTCTCTCTCTCTCTCTTACAACATAATGTTAGGGTTCATATTGTTTTCTAAAACTAGGTTTTAGAGGATCTGAAATTGGAAGTTATGTGGCGGCTTTTTTAAATTAGGGATTTTTGAAATCTATGGCTTTGTCTCTTTGGAGATGAATGTTGAAATTTTTCCTTCCAAGTCTTCTTTGTTGTATTCCTTATTAGAAACTCAAAATACTGCAGAGAACTCTCTTTATTAATTAATCAAGAATATACAAGATTCCGTATAAATATACGGCCAGTAACAATTAAAAATAAATACCAACGGTTATGGATACTTACTAAATAATCTTATCATAATCAAGAGACACCTCATTAAGAGATATATACCTATACAGGTACATATCTGTATTGATATGTATTCATAATGATGTATATCAATACTAAAAAGATATCCATACGCTAACATTCCTTGGGTTTGAATTTTGTGGGTGTTTCCAAAGTTTTCTATAAGGATTGTTGCTTTGGGATTTTTGAGTTTTCTGTGTGGGAAAATTGTTTCATGCGGGCTAGACCGCATTTTTATAGGCTAGACCACATTTTTACAATATGTGGTCCAAAGGTATAAAGCATCTATTATATATGGATGCAAATAGGTGGTGCATCTAAAAATAAGTGTAACTAACGGTCCAAATGTTTTCTTAATATAATTATTATTTCTAGTTTTCAAAAAAAAAAATTCATATTCCATGTTAAAGATTATATATTCTCTAAAATTTATGATCAAATTACATTTAAAAAATATATCTCTTGCGAAGCCCGCATTTCTACTATATGAGGGCTGGCCACCTAGAAACCTCGTCCTTCTGTATGTTAATGATTTCTCCTTTCCTTTTTACTTCCTCTATTTGCATTCACTTGATTTGGGAAATGTGGAAAGACTTGGGTAATGGTTGTATAATGCTGCTCAAGAATGTGTGAATTCAATTTGATGCTATTGACTTGTGATGTTGGGAAAGAGTGTATAGTTCGAGACTATGATCGATGTATCTGAGTTTGATCTCATCATGAATTGTTTCACTCTGAATAATGGTTTAGGAAGAGGGGGAGGGAGCAGTGCACTGATTTCAAAACATACTTTCGATCAAGAAGGGACCATGGGATGTTCTTGCGATGCTTGTGATTGATTCCTTTGTTGCATGTTACGATGCCTCAAGTTCACCTTGTAGTTCAGCCCTTCTACATATCTGTCGCACCACTTAACAAAAACGACACCCTGGACACCAATAGTACATTCTTCCAGACTTGACTGGAGAATTTGATGTACTTGAATTACATAGTAAGTGGCAACGCGGACATTCGTGCCTTGGTTATCCTCCATTGTTTGTGGAAGCTAATGATATCCTGACTGGCTGAAAAGGTCTTGACCTACATCCAATTTTCAGGTTCTGCGGGCTAACTTTGTTGTCCATAAACAATGAACAACACAAAATATCCATAAACAAAGCAGAATTATGTGTGTGCACGATTTTTTTTTTTTTGAGGTTTTTTCTTTTCGTTTTCCTTTGAGGAAACATGTGTGCACATGCATGAGCGTGTTACAATAATGTTTCAGAGTTCATGATTACTAACAATTGAAAAAAGGCATGTGAGATATGTGTTTTCTATATGAACAATATCAAATCGAAAGCCAAGTTGCATAAGCAATTCAAGTACACTTAAGAGATATGGATGGGTAGAATTCAATCTTGATGCTCAGAAGAATAATGATGACATAAAGAACTATTACGTTTTCACCTGTATGAAGAATAACAACATGATATATCATAGTACGTCATGAAGGACAGTGAGTTCAATGTCTACCACAACAGTAAGTGACAAACACAACTTCAAAAACTTCATTCTGTTTTTGTTTATTTATTCAGATGATTAGCTACCAACAAATTACTATTAGTATCCAAACTAATATTAGTATCCAAATGCTTTTAAAAATCAAGAAAAGATCCATCTATGCTCAGTTATTAACAGCTTCATCGCGAAAACAAAAAACTGGGAATTAATACAAAACTTGTCATGAAAAAAAGCATGCACATGTGTTGCAAATAATGTTTGAGAGCTGTCTTCATGAGACTAGACCATTAGTGCCACACTTTTATAATTCTAGTAGAACAAGACATTCTTGACAGATCTAAAGGACAAACAGATCACATCAAGAGATACATCTTACATTCGGTTTATACAGCATCAGAAATGACAACAGAAGATCTGATATATGTGGAGGAAGCCCATCCCAAACTGTACTAGTCGTATGCCTCAACCCCAAAAGCCTCCTTACGCCTTCGTAACCCAAGCCCTGACCAATGGTTACAACATATTAGTTAGATTGTTACATGATGCAAAAGCAATCACCTAGAGAATAGTACATAGTTACTATACATAGTTACTAGTGTCAATTCAGGCAACAAGAGAAATTTGCCGGAGTTGAAGGCCAAATCAATTACCCGCTGGGTTGATCAGGATTAACAAATCCATGGGGAGTCAGGAAAATATAATAACAAAAATTTTGAAAATCGGTGGGGGTCTTGGGCCATTCCTGGCCATCCAAATACCAAATAGCTCACCCACTGTTGCCATGTCGAATTGGGGGATTCTGGTTCGATTATTGCATATTTTTCAAAACACAGCTTCTTACATAGCGCCAAAAATGGAGGGCTCATTGATTTGGGCATTTTTCTATTAAACTACCACAAAATTTAGCAGAATAACAAGAAGATTCTTGTCCATTAGTTTGGCTCTATCATGCATTCCTTTTTTTAACCTGCTGACATTTTTGTCAATGTCTATAAGCTTAAGAGTGTACTGCATATATTATAGAGCTTACCACCTCTATTAGTATTAACATTTTGAATCTCCAAAGGTGAGTAAAATAATCTCCAATCCAACATACACAAAAACCAGCAAAAGACACAAAAATGGGTAGCAGAACAAGGATATTATAAACTGTACCATTATTTGGACTACATTTTTGCAGACCAAGGAACAAGAGATTCTATCCTATGCTGGCTTCAATAAACTTACAGAAATCATACAATTTATAGAAAAACATCTCAGAAAAATTATCAAACTCATCATCAAGTATCTGGACAGCATTTTCAATCGCTCTATCCAAAGAGACAGGGCCACAGATTTGGACAATCCCTAATTTCAATACCCCAAATGTTTGGACACATTCATACAATGTATACAAAAACATTTCGGAAAAATTATCAAACTCATCATCAAGTATTTGGACAGCATTTTAATTCTATGCATCCAAAGAGACAGAGCCATAGATTTCAAAAATCCCTAATTTAAAAAAGGCCCAACAGAACAACCAATTTCACACCCTGTAAAACCTAGTTTTAGAAAGCAATGTAAACCCTAATACTATGCTGTAATAAAGAGAGAGGTACAGGGGAGGGCTAAGAGAGGAGAGAGGCAAGAGAGAGAGAGGAGAGAGGCAAGCGAGAGAGAGGGACAGGTTGATGACTGGCGAGAGAGAGAGAGGGAATGGCTCGAATGGGTGCTTTTGTGTATTTTTACCCGGGAAAGCTTTGTATGAAACCTCCAATACTTCTATCCTCTTTTTTATCGAACCGTCCATTTTTTTTAATGGAGGGCTAAGATTGCCCCAATCACAATGTCACGTTGTTTTATTTATAATTTTTTTTCTATAAATTATTTTAACATCAAATTTTGTACTATCATTCTTCTATTAAACTTGCACTAAACAAAAAAATATAAAAAATATATTTTCAATAAAATAAAATATCTAAAATATCCTTGAAAGTTTCAAAGAGTATTTTGGTTATTATTTTTTATTGAAAATTTATTGTTAATCTTTTTTTATATGTGCTCTCCAATAAGAAGATGGCACGTACCAAATTTCATATTCATAAATTTTGTATTAAAAAAATAAAAATAAAATACTTTAAGATATCGGATCTAAGATCAAGCGATGAGTGACTCTCATGATCAAAAATAGACAGCTAGATGGTAAGGAGAGGGTAGAACTTCTATGTTGTAAAAAAGAACTTAGGTAAAAACTAACACAAAAAATAATATTTAAATAGTATTCGGCCACATTTTATGGCCCTTAGTATCACATTTTATGGCCCATTTGATGGGCCTAGTATGTATATGTTTGGGGCCCTCCACCATTCTTCCCATTTTATGGCCCTAGTATGTATCAGTTTGGGGCCCTCCACCATTCTGTACATTTTATGGCCCAGCTTATGCCCCTAGTATGTATCTGTTTGGGCCATCCACCATTCCTCACATTTTCAGCGGTTTTCTTGCAAGTAATCACACATCCTCGGCCTAATCTTCACATTTTCAGCGGTTTTCTGGCAAGTAATCACACATCCTCGGCCTAATCTTCACATTTTCAGCGGTTTTCTGGCAAGTAATCACACATCCTCGGCCTAATCTTCACATTTTCAGCGGTTTTCTGCCGAGTAATCACACATCCTCGGCCTTTCAGATTGGGTGGTCATGTGTCAAAGATACACCCAAACACATGCGTAAATAAGAAGAGCTAGGCAAGCACTAGAAAGAAGTGCAAAAACCCATTTAAATTTAAATAGATAAATTGATTAGGGAGAGATTTTAGAGGATACCAAATGTCCGAATAGATGGGATATCTAATAAGC